AAATAAAATGATACAATTGAAAAAATTCATGAGTTAGTCTTTAACATTCTCAAAATGACTTATATTTCTGAACAAACCAATTATTAAAAACGACTTATATTTATAGACTGTGTGAATAATTAATTTACTACATTTTAGAGTTTTAATAGTAATATTGCACATATGTCATTAGAGTGTATATAAGATGTTCTTAATTAATTAGTTTGATAAATCGTCAAGTCAGTAATATATTTTGGGATTGTACAATGCAAAGTCTGTGATTTGATAATTCACATAATCATAAGTTCCTTACAGGCTTTTTACATCAGAAACTTAAGATTAATATTACAGTTAAAATATGTTTAATATAACATTGTTATTAATTTCTACTATTAATATGTTTAATTTTGCATATTGAGATATAGTGTAGTAATAAATGCACGTAGGATTCCAAACTTAAATTTATTCTTTCCTAGTATTCCTTCCTGGTAGAAAAATTATGGATCTAGTACATGAATTTTAGATTTCTCCATTTGCAATTATCTGTAATCAAGACACTCAAACACAAATTTAGAATTTATAGAAGAGAAGCTAGATCTTCCTCTCCGATTCCTTATTCACAAGGCGGTTTTCAATGGGACTAGCCAATATTATAATGAAGAATGTAGAGGAGACCTAACATATTTATATAGAATCTTATGAACCTTTCCATCACAAGTTCTTTTAGGATTACGTTTATATTTTGAATGGTTTTACCATATTGGCTAATTAGAGGTGCATAAGTTCACTATACAAGTGATCACATAAACACAAATTGTGCACGATATAAATATTCTTAAACTGTATTTATTCAATCTCATTTTCGCAAACTAAAATAGCCCACAATTAATAGTAGCCCATATTAAAATTTCTAACATCTTTGTCTCAAAATACAAGTCATTTGAGATTTTTGACGGAGATTAAGAAAGAAATTAATTTTCCTAATTATAATAAAACCAAGAGTAATTTAACAAAATTATCCTTTATTTTAAAACCAAAGGTAATTTATCAAGATAATTATTATATCTAATATAAATAAGGGTAAAATTAAAAAAAAATAACATTCATTACTCTTTTAAATACTCAAAACGAACAATTATCTTAAAATAACTTATATTTTGAAAGGAGGGAGTATCTTATTTTTGTAATTATTATTACTAAATTTGGAGGAATAATAATTTCAATTAAAAAAAATAACTATCATTTAAGAGAAATTTGAAGTGGAAAACAAAAGGGTGGGAAAGGGCTGGCCACTAGTTTGGTTTGCATAAGAACTAGAAGCAACAAAAGCTAAACATGAATGGCTTGAGAGTAGGTTCTAAATTAATTGGGTTCAATTTGATAAAAACTCGCTTAATTCAAGTTTGTTTATTAAATAAGCCAAATTTATTATTGATTTGTAAATGTGGATAATGGAGTCTGGTAGTGTAATCTGTTCCTCTATTAATGCTATTGGTGCTATCGATGCATATTGACGGAAACCATGTGTCGTATATTGCAAATTCTTGAAAAGACAATTTAAGTATAGAAAATCTAGAAAAGTTATTATTTTTTGGTCCAAATCAATTAAATGACCAGTTGTTATTATGAAAATTTATATTTTTTTTGTTAAAATCACCTTCAAGCGAAAGGATGTAATGTTCTCTCTTTTATTTTTAGTATTATCATTCAAAATAATATTTACAATTCTTTTGGTTTATTAAAAGATCGCCGAACTCTATTAGCTTCTTATAGTAAAGTTTTATGTCTGATCTAAATGAATATTTGTAATGTTTGATATTATAATTAACGAATTCTATTTTTCAAAAAAAAAGTCCCTATTTTTTTTTATTGAAACTACGTAGTTTTGAATTAGATTTCATTAACATTATAGCCAATTTTCTTTATATTAGTTTTTTGCATGACGTGCGTTGCACGTTGATTATACTCGTTATATACTCAATTGTTTATCTACATAAAATTAAAGTATAAGTTTTATTTAGATTAAAATAAATACAAGTGGTTAAAGTTATTATCATTCAAAAAGAATAAATATTTACAATTTCTTTTGGTTTAATTAAATAAGATCGCCGAACCTCTATTAGCTTTCTTATGTAAAGTTTTATGTTGATCTAATGAAATATTTTTGTTAATGCTTTGATATTATAAATTAACGAAATTTTTTTCCCTTTTTTTTCCCATATTTTTCAAAAAAAAAAGTTCCCTATTTTTTGTTTTATTGAAACTACGTTAGTTTTTGAATTAGATTTTCATTAACATTATAAGATGCCATTTTCTTATATTAGTTTTTTGGCATGAACGGTGCGTTGCACGTGATTGCACGTTGATTATACTCGTTATATACTCAATTGTTTATCTACATAAAATTAAAGTATAAGTTTTATTTAGATTAAAATAAATACAAGTGGTTAATTTGTATTACATTTTGTTGTACAAATTACTTGTAATGCTACTTCTTATATAATTAATTCTATTTTTATATAATAAATTGGTCTCAGAATAATGTTCAACATTGCCCTAGAACTAATCTTTTAGTCCCTAATTTATAAATGCAGATTTCAAAAATTCTGATAGGTGTCAAAAAAGAAAATCAAGTCATCACTCAATCTCCAACCTCCTATCCTCAACTCCAAATCAATATCTATATACAACTATAATGAAAATAATAAAAAATTATTTTTTACTGCTAGGTAAAACAAAAGAAATGAGAAAATGATTTGAATTGATTGAGAAAATGATTTGAATTGATAATGAACATCACTTTAGCTACAGTTACATTATTACTTTATCCAGTACATCAGAGAAAGAAATATATGTACATACAAACAAATTTTTGAAACCCTAAAAAGTAACCAAAACAATTCTATTTTTTTCAGTTTTTTAAACATTATTCTTTTAAGTCAAATAGATTTATGATATAAGAGAAAAAAATATCAAAAAATTAAAATATTTAATTATTTATAGGCTGTCTATTTATTGCAATGAAGTTATAAATATCTTACTAAATTAAAATGATAGTATTTACAAATTATTCAGTAACGAAAAAGAACATAAAAAATTATTATTAAGAATAAAACTCTTCTAAAACTCACATAAGAAAAAAAAAATTTCAATATATACAAATATATCAATATATCAATAAAATTATTTTTTAATAAGTATTTTTTAAAAATTAAAAAATTTTAATTGTTGTTCATTCCTAGTTTTAATTATGTAATTCTATTTCAAAATTTACTTCTTAAATAAAATGATATTCAATCAAATCTTACAAACAAAAGAAAAGAATATTAATAAAAGAAATTATTTTTTCTTTTTTTTTCTCTAAATAAAATATTGACCTATATTCTATTTGAAAAATTTATTTTTAAAAAATATTTCAATCCAATTAGAACATAAAGAATTTATAAAAATAATATTTCCCCTTATTTTTTTATCTGTCCTCTAATAACATATTTAAATTATAATCAAAAAATAGAATTAAATATTTAATAATTATAAATTACATATATATTTATTAAAAAATAAATTTAGTGAAAAATTAGATTTAAATTTTAAATGCTTAATTATTTATAATATTTATTTAAAAAATAAAATTTTTATTCATTAAGAGACATGATGAGTCAAAATAATATTATGGGCAACATAATAAGGAGTAATCCTCCTCTAGACTCACTAAATTAGTGAAACACTTGCGGTCGAGAGGTTTCAAATTTGAGACCTCTCACTACTCAAATAAGTGAGAAAACAATTCGATCACTCATGATTGGCTTAAAAAATAATTTTTGCAAATATATCCAATCAACTAAAAAAATGTAATTTTTAATTGGTTATGATTAAGGTTATTTTAGGATATCCTAAATTTAACCAAGAGTGTTATTGAAAATCCCATTATTTCCCTCTATTCCCACTCTATATGTAGTATAGATAATAATAATATTTATGTAATAACTAATTTAATTAAATATATTATAAACAATCTTTCTCAAAAAAAAAAAAAAATTGCAATAGAAATTAACTGTAATATATTGTCAAAAAAAAAAAAAAATTGTAAACAATAGAAATTAACTGTATTATAAACTAATTTAATGATATGATAACTATTTTGTATAAATTAACTATATATAAATAATAGAACTAATTATTACAATAATTGATTATAATATCATTACATTCCTATTATGATTAAACATAAATAATTACAAATGATACATTATATCAATTGGGTCATTCATAAATAATTTGAATTCCATTCAATAAAAATTTATTTGGCTTGACTCGAGTCCATTTTCTATTTCTATACAAATAAAATTTCAACGTGATTTTTAAATTTCTCTATCAAATGAATTAAAATTGAATTTGAAGAAATTCAACTGATTAAAATTCATTTAATAAACGAATTAAATTTAAACTTTTTAAATTCAATTAAATTTAATTCGTTTAACTATATCATCCTTTAGCACGTGCCTCACTCATTCATTCACTATAATCAGTTTTGAAGTCATCAAATTTTTTTAAAGGTTCAAAACCATCAATTTGATGGATGATTTTAACCAATTTTCTATAAATAAAAAAATAAAAAAAAGAAAATATAAAAATAGAATGTTAGAATCAAAATCAATAATCTAAGAATCAATTCAAAACTAGAAGGATGAATTCAGATTTTAAGTCCAAATTTATTGATTTTCTGAATTAAGATTGTCAATTCGATGAATCAAATCAATCACCTTTAAAAAATCAATCACCTTTGAAAAATTCGTTAATTTTTTTTTCATTAGAACTGTCGATCCTTTGAATTAGCCATCTCTAGAAAGGAAAATTAAAAAGACAAATGAATAAAATGATGGAAATTTTGTTAAAAAGGAAAAATAAATTAAAAAAAATAAAAAAACAAAGGTAATCCAGTGTTTCAAATATTTTAAATGAAAAATTCTTACACATACCACTGTTTTTTATAAATACAAAATGACAAATATACAGGCCTTGTCATCGTCTCCCACTCCCATCATTCACGTTTATTTATTTCTCTTATTAATTTACTCTCTCCTTCAAACATCAAATTACAGGTCTTCTGCAACCAATTTTCTTTCCCCTTCTGTCACGGCGGAGCTTGCCTTTACCAAAGCCGTCCACCACCTTCACAATCATCCGTTTTGACACTCCAGCTAAAGATAAAACCCCCTAATCTTCACCTACACACAACAATCCTCAAGAAATGAAGAGATTGAAGAGTTACTATATGCACTTGCGCCACCACCAAGCCATGGAGCGCAAATGGATCTTCCCATTAGCTATTGGGTCTATAGTATCTCTCTTTCTTCTCTTTCTCACCACACTTACCTCTCCTGATGGAACCCCATTACTCCCTATATACCGTTCTTTCTCTACTTTCAGTTCTAGATTTGTGGAACCAAAGCTGCAACCAATTCCTGTTTCTACTCTCCCTCCTCCTCCTCGCTTCGCTTACCTAATCTCCGGCTCAGCCGGTGATGGTAACATGTTGAAGCGAACATTGCAGGCGCTTTACCATCCCCATAACCGGTATGTTGTACATTTGGACCGTGAATCGTCGGTGGAGGAGCGGTTGGATCTGAATAATTATGTGAAGAATAATCCGGTTTTTGTTAAGTTTGGGAATGTGAAGATGATCGCTAAAGCTAATCTTGTAACTTATAGAGGGCCCACTATGGTTGCTAATACGCTGCACGCGGCGGCGATCTTGTTAAAAGAGGGTGGAGATTGGGATTGGTTTATTAATCTTAGTGCGTCCGATTATCCACTTGTTACACAGGATGGTTAGTGAAATGGATTTGGTTGTTTTATTTTTCTTGTTTTAAATTTTGTTTCTATATTTGGTTTGTTTTAGCTTTTAATTTACTTTTGTTTGATGGGTTTCTTTTTGGTTTAATAGATCTATTGCACACGTTTTCTTATCTGCCAAGGGATCTTAATTTCATTGATCATACAAGTAATATTGGTTGGAAAGAGTGAGTTGGAATTTGATTTTTCTGTTTAAAACTTTACTGTTTTGTAGTTTTCCAAGTTATGGGATTTATTGGATATATTGCCATATTTGTAGGTTTCAAAGAGCTAAACCCATAATTGTAGATCCAGGTTTGTACATGACAAAGAAAGCTGATGTTTTCTGGGTTACGCAGAGGAGGAGTGTACCAACTGCATTCAAATTATTCACAGGTAAAATTTTTATGATTTTTTTTTTTTATGTTCAATTAATGTGGGAGTTAGCTTTTTGTTGCTTTTGTTACATGTCGTTTTTGAGCTAATTAAAAAGCAAAATGCAAAATTGAACGAAGCAAAAGGGAGTAATGGAGGTCAATTTGCATAAAGGTTCCATGAACTCAGAAGGCAGAAAGAGCTCTGCTGAGAAACAAGATTTTTGTCTATTCCCTATGTTCTATTGATTTCTATTGTTATGATTGGGATTATTTGGTGCGATTGACTTTTGAGCTTCTTGCATAAAATTATTCTCTTTTTCTAATGGCGGGATTTGTTGATTTTTTCAATTTTATGACTATGTAGTATAGGTTGTGAAACTTGTGTGAGTATTCATTTGTTCTGTTTTTTCTACATTGATTATTGAATTTGTATCGGTCAGGGATGTATGATCAGTCTTACTAGTTGAGATCTAACATAATGGTAAAGTGAAGCCAATTGTTGATATGGTGTAAGAAGAACATTTTTTTTGAGAGCCAATTGTCTTTCTATATGTCTCTCACCACTTGTATGCAGATATATTTTTGTAGCATCAGTTGCTTGACTTGCTGTCAAATTTGTCCAGACCATATTATAGGAAGAAAGTGTTCAGAAATAAGTTGATCTCTTAGATGCTCTTAGACATATCATTATGACTAGTTTTCATCTCTTGATCAGATTTTGGGTCTGGTTAGCAGGAGGTGAAATTAGGATCTAAGGATGCGATTATGGATCATGATGCTTTTCTTTAATGTAGGCTGATCAAATTCTCTTAGTCGGTTAAAAGAAGGTTGGGAAATTTGGATCTGGGATACTGCAAACCACTTAAGCAAACAAATTAGTGTACAACTGTTCCTATATTGCTGATAGAGCTACTTATGAACTCAATCTGTTGGCTATTAGTTGAGATAGAACAAAGCTGTAAATGGGAATTTCTTTGACATTGTTTCCAACTTGGATATATGGCTCCCTAAGTTCTTTAAGTTTGAGTATGCTGCATAGTGAGAATGAGAATTGAAATGCCCTAGCATTAGATGGCAACTTACTGTAGACAATTCGCAAGATTTTAAAATTCCTAAACCTTTAATTTTGATTTCTAACTATCACTATTATTTAGAAAAGAAAAAGATTCTGTAGTTCCTTAGACATCTGGATCTGGCAAAAGGAAACAAGAAAAGCATTGAATGTGAATGCTTGTTTTCTTCAGGTAGTTTTCAAACAACAGTCTGCTAAAGCTTGAACAAGAAATATTGGTAAATATCGTTTTTCTTTTTGAGAATGCTAAATCATCAACATTTGGTTTGAAACAATTATGCTTGCAAATAACATTATGCTTCATTCTTGCTTGCAAATATATTTGACACTCGACAATGCGGATCGAAACAATTCTCTGTGCATTTTAGTATACTTCTATGTTTTGTAGAGTTGTAGGGTGAAACTTCAAAATGGTTTCAAATCTGTTTTTTGGAGCGAGTTCCTTTGATTAACCCTTGCAGCTTATTAAGCTCTACAGTTAAGACTGCTCGTTGCTGAGAAGAAACAAAAGCCTTACTTTATGATATGGCTGGACTTTCTAAAAATACCCTTAAAAGTTGTTTGATCCTTGAGCTTCATAGTTGTTGGTTTGAGTCTGATGCATGATAGCCTCACTCAGATCTTTTGGGATGCTGGAATTTGTAAATAATTTTCTTTCAAGTAATTTTGAAGTAACAAATTAAATTTGCAAATGATTATTTTATAGGGAATTGAAAATCAGCTTAATTGATGAGGTTATGCTAATATAATTTCTGTTTTCTGTTATAGGTTCTGCCTGGATGGCTCTTTCTCGGCCTTTTGTTGATTACACCATATGGGGATGGGACAATTTACCCCGAGTAGTACTAATGTATTATGCAAACTTCATATCATCCCCAGAAGGTTACTTCCACACTGTCATTTGCAATGCACAAGAGTTTCGCAACACAACTGTGAACAGCGACCTTCATTTCATATCATGGGACAACCCACCTAAGCAGCACCCACACCACCTCACCTTAGCTGACATGCAAAAGATGATCAACAGTAATGCACCTTTTGCAAGGAAATTCCGCAAAGACAATCCTGTGCTTGACAAAATTGATTCTGAGCTCTTATCTCGGGGTCCTGGCATGTTTACTCCTGGTGGTTGGTGCATAGGACGTAAGGAAAACGGAACTGACCCATGCTCTACTATAGGTAATACCACAGTCCTTAGACCTGGCCCTGGTGCAAAAAGGCTGGAGGATTTGATAAGTTCTCTGTTATCTAGCGAAAAATTCCGACCAAGGCAGTGCAAATAGCAACACTTTTTAAAATATAAGATATTATACAAGCCTTTGGGATAGTTTATATCAGGAGAACAGGGAATCTATGATCAACCAATCTGCATTCCTTCTGGTTTTCAGAAAAAGATTGGTGAAAATATACACAATTCTATGGCTACGGTTAGTGGCATGGACGAGGTGAATTTTGTGGAACGAAATCGATTACTGCACCTAGCAGTAGTTCTCCAATGTAATGTCATGGTGTAGAGGACTGAATTCATCCTTGTGACTAGGTGGCCTGAAAGTATTTTTCCTTTTCTCTTTAACTGTATTTCTATGACCAAACCATTCATTGCCGAGCCCTTAATCTTGTGCGTGGCTGATGGTGAAGTAGATGAACATTCGCAAGATTAATGTTAGAAAAAGACAAAAAAAAAAAAAAAAAACGCAAGATTAATGTTAGAAAATATAGAACACCAAAAAAAAAAGCATGAATTAATGAAATTTTGTTGGTACGATGCCTTGTAAAAAAAAAAAAAAAAAAGCATGAAATTAATGAAATTTTGTTGTACGATGCCTTGTTCCATTGTATGGACTGGTTTACCATCTGGCAAAATTTGTGTTGTGTTACAGCGATGAATTTTCGCTTTTGCTTTGATCCATCAAATATTTTAATTGAATTATATTTATTAAATATTTAAATTTGAAAAATTAAATTAATTAAATATTTTTTAAATAGTTGAAAATGTTGAAGTTGTCATTTCAAAAGCTATATTAATAGTTTGGAAATTTATATAATATTATTAAGATTTATAATTATAAATATATAATAAATCGTTTATAAAATTTAGTTCAGGTGAATTTATATATCCACGGTAAATAATTTTGCTCAAATTCAAATTCCTAGTCAAGCTTTTATTGTCCTGCTTGGACTTGAGTCTGATTGCTGGAAATTTCCACACTAGAATAGTTTTTGTTTTTCTATAAGAAACGTGTCTTGTTTGTCCAACGGCATTCTAGTGTGTAATCATTCTCAAGTACCAAACTTTGTCCACGGATGGATAAGGATTTCTGGTTTGATTTGAAATAAACTAAAAGAAACAAATGGAAATGAAAACCAAACCAAATTAAAATTAAAGACCAAAAGTCTAGAAATAATCTTTTTAGATCAATTATCCATCCTGGTATAAATTCATGAGCAAAATTAAATCTTCTTTCAAATTGAATTTTTTTGGTTTAGTCTATTAGACTTTTTTTTTTTATATTGAATTGGGCTTATATTTAGAAATTAAAAATAACTATTAACCAATTGAGAAGTGAAAACAATTTAAAATCCAAATCTAATTTTTGGTAAGGAAACAAAGTAGAATAAAATAAAAATGAAGTGCAATCACGTATTGGAGGTACGATGAAACAATAGGTTCTCTTTAAATTAGTTACACAGTAAGGATTGCTTTCTCTTTTTCATAAATTTGACAATTTGACAGAAATCTCAAATTTTAATTCTATGGAAATGTTTATGATTGAAAGGCAGGGATAACATTGTAGGCTACACAACACTTCACTTTAAATAACATTCATTAAATTGGTGATAACATTCATCACATTGTGGACCCAAATTCGAGACCTCTCATTCCCTACACCTTCGACAAGACATGGAAAAATCAACCAAGCCACATTTGATTGATGATAACTGTATTTTCACATGAGGCTCAATATATAAATTAATATCCATAATCTTACAAGAAAATTTTATAGTAAGAATTTCAATTTTTAAGTTGACCTGTGAAATCTTTCAACTCTTAGAACTACATTTATTAAATATTTCAACTTATAAAATTATAGTTAATGCATATAATTTTATATAATTTTTAATTATTAAATAAATGTTTAATAAGTGCAAGGTTATTTCTATCACGTAAAAGATATTTTATTTATTTTTTGATTTGAACTATCAGACAATGACTTTCATAATTTTTTTAATCATTTAATAAGTGTTCAATAAGTATAATTTTATGACGCTGCTCTTCCTCCCCCTCTCTCTCTTTCTCTCAAAATCTAAAACCTAAAACGTCTCTTTTCTTTTTCCACGGGCAGCCACTGGTGAGTTCTCACCAATGGTCACCCCTTTACTTTTTTGTTTGTTTTTCTTTGTTTGCAAATAATCCTCAGACATGTAAGTAAATCTGAATTATTGTCGCCCAAATATTAAGATTTATTATTTTCATATTTTAGAATTTTGTTCTCAGATCTAATTCTGAATTATTGTAATCACCATTATAGTAATTTTGTCTAGCGTTTTTTATTATTTGGATAGTTATGCAGAAAGAAGTGTAGATCTCCTCTCCAATAAAAGGAAGAAATTTGGAGGTAATCAGAGGACTTGTTAAAAAAAATGGAATTGAACAGTGGCCATAAATAGCCACCAAGTGGAGCAAGCGATCACTTATGACACAAATATTATACTCTGTCAACTCGATCAAATACTTCAAATCAAGATTGTGTTTTTTTTTTTAATTTTTTTATATAAGTGGTTTATTATTAGACTTTTTATACAAAATTATAAAAACATTTTAATCTGTATCTCATATCTATATACAGTTTAGAATTAATAAAATTTCTAGTTTGATTTTTCTCAAAAAAAAAAAAAAATATAATTTTATAAATTGAAATATTCAATAGGTGTCATTTTTAAAAGTTAAAATATTTAATATTTGTAGTTTTATAAATTTAATGATTACTAGATAAATATAAAAATTGAGAGTAGTACTAGACTTTTTTTTTTTTAATAGAATGTATTAGATATGAATTTATTTATTTGGTCTTTTATATAAGATTGCTAGGTAGCCATTGATATCAACTGGGAAGATCCTAACTAGACTACATATCAACTAATATTTATTTGCATTAGGCATGGTAGGTTTGGTGAACCGATAACTTCATTTCATCGAATCAGTGGTTCAAGTTCCTTCAAATCATGAACATTAATCATGTCACATCCCGACTAAGTAAAGCGGTTCAAAGTGAGCGGGTAAAGTAAAATTCATGGCAAGTTTTTAAGATAGCGAGACTAACGAGAGTAATGGAATGCGGGGCTAGCTAGAGTAGTGAATAATGATGAGGAGTTCAATGCATTAAATTTGGAAAATTTACTCGATGAGATGGGTTGTGTGTTCTATTGACCTCTTTTGATATTTGACCAAGTAAGTAGTTTAAACTATAGGGGAGATGCTTCCGGATTTTCAGTAAACCAATTATAAAAACTAGATTAATTTTTGTAACAGGCATGAACTAGTCAATCAAGAGTATAATGATGATATTAAGTTAGAAAAGATAGTTAAATAAAGGAATGGTTAGTAAACTAATTAGTGTTAGAATATATAGTTATAGAATTATCCACGAATAAAGTGAATAAGATATGTATGCTAAAATAAAAAAAGGTTAGATATAAGATGATATAGATTAGATTGCACAAGTAGAATTCTCATTTACACTTTTTCCATCACATATCCTGTGGATTTCAAGAAACCATACCACGATCAACAAGGGATCAAGAGAAGGAGAATATCTTTCGGTTAAATTATAAACTGTGAGGAATGTTAGATAATTTGAATTGTCCAATCATATTGCATTCATACATATATACATATTTGTAATAAGCATGCATACATGATTTATAATGCCATCTAATATTATTCTTATAAGGAAAAATTACAGTACGATCCCTGTGGTTTGAGAAATATAACTAGTCCGTTCTTATTTTTTAAAAAATATATTAATTTGTCCTTATTGCTTCCGTTACACTATTAGGTCATTTTATTCAATTTTTGCATCTTTTCTGTTAAGTTAACAAGAAAACACAGAGGTCAAAGGAAATATACTAAAATATTATACAGGAAAAATTATAGTTCAGTCCCTATAATTTGAAAATTACAACTAGTCTGTTCTTGTATTTTTAGAAACAGAAGCGATATCATCATTTCATAGGGTACATAACGGAAAAGATGTAAAAATTAGACGGAAGGACCTTATAGTCCGATGGAAGTAAAATACTCATTCCGTCCCATTTTGTTTGCATGGTTTGACAAAACACACACATTAAGGATTTAGTCAACAAAAGTTATTTTGCTCTTTTTATCCTTAACTTATTAAGATATTAATAAAAATCCTTCATTTAATGACCAATCATAAAGGTTATTAAGGGAAAAATAATTATTTACATATCTAATTTTAGAAATAATAACCTTAGGTTATGAAAACCCGCAATGAGTGACACCATATAGCTTCCGTACCAAGTTATTATTCTCATGTAATTTATTACATTTTTCATATCAAAAAACCCTTATGCCGATAGTGATTAATGAAATAAATCAATCCAGGGGAGAAACTCTGCTTGGAAGCATTAAGTTCGATAATAAATCATACTTTGAACAAAGAAAAACAAATCTAATATTATAAATTGGAAAAGAAATTAAGCTACATCAAACTCCTAGTATGAGAATTTAGTTCGACATAGTAATTAAATAAAACTCAATAATACTTGAATAAAATTCCATAATTAATCAAAATAATGAACGAATAAAATAAGTTTAAGAGTTTAGAGATAAAAACTAGGCAACAAATAATGTGGACGGCTTCCTTGAATCTTGGCACAAATTTTGAATGCTTGAAGTATTTTAGAGAGAGAAGAACAATAGAACAAGAATTGTCAAAAACCGGAGATGCCTTTATAATGAATGACCCCTCTCTTTATATAGATTTTCTGGGAGAAAATCCGACTCCGTTTAGGAAATAGAATCCTTATTAAGTAAGAAATCTTTTTGGAGATATGAAACTCTGGGAGAAAATCCGACTATCCGTTTAGGAAAATAGAAAATCCTATTAAGTAAGAAAATCTTTTTGGAAGATAATGAAACTATTTAGGCCTTTGATTTCTTCTTAAATTAGGACTCTTCCATTTTCCCTAAAATAGGATTAGAATCTTGAATTGTACGTCAGGAAAATCTGAGGTGGGCTCATGTAAGTTATAAAAAACTGGCTTTAGCGTCTCGATTAAGAACAGCACCTAATTCGTAGTAGCACGGGCGTGCTGTTTTGCACGGTCTGGGCGTGCTAGAGTCTGAGTTCTATGGATGATTCAGCACGGGCCGTGCTCTGCGACACGTCCAGAGAAGAATTTGTGGCACGGGCATGCCCGATGCTAGGCTCTGACTTTCCAAGATGAAATGCATCACGAGCGTACTTAAGTAAGCACTCCCTAAGGTCTTCTTAGGCACGAGCGTGCTAGATAGCACGGGCTAACCGTGCTAGAGTCTGAATCTCCACTTGATTTTCCTTAAGTTCAGCACAGACGTGCTAATGTGCACGGGCAGGGCGTGCTAGAACCTGAGTGTTTTGCTTTATTTTGCTCCGAGTGTTTTGCTTTATTTTGCTTCATTTCTGTGCT